CTTTTCTTTTTCTATTCTTAATCTAAGAGCATTTTGTAAGTACTTCTTACAGATCTGTATGACTTTCAATTCTCTTGGTTTATGCAATAACTTAAAATGTTAAAACATTAAAAAAAATGGGTACCCTGCAGTGAGGACAAATTTTTAATGTTTTAACAATAGATCATATGTAAAAATAAATCAAAGTGACTTGTATCCTAAGCTGTACCTCTGTGTACTTGGTCTGAATTTCTCTCGTCATTCCGAAAAGTACTCTAACTGCCAGGAACAGATTTTGGGGGACACATAATACTACCAAGGAAAGGTGATGGGAAAGTCCTCTTTTGTGACGTCTTCTTTGTTTTGCTAATGGAAAGAAAGTTAGGTTCCAAGCCTTGTGGGCTAACAAAGAATGCCAATTTACTAACAAAAGCAATATTTTTTCTTCTCTTCCCCACCTCTCTCAGTTATGTATGCCTAAGGGTCTGTCTTTCAAGACACAAGCTGATGCCAGAGAACCTCAGTTTCATTCGTTCATCATTACTCGTGAAGACGGGTCACGGACATTTGGATTTTCCTTGACATTTTATGAGGAAGTTACCAGCAAACAAATCTGTAGTGCAATGCAGACATTGTATCACATGCACAATGCGGAATATGATATTCTTCATACTCCACCTACAAATCATAAAGACAACTGTAGCACTATAGAAGACTGTAATGGATCCTCTGTGTCAAAATTACAGCGATTTAATTCATATGATATTAGTAGAGACACTCTCTATGTCTCCAAGTGCATTTGCCTGATAACGCCAATGTCTTTCATGAAGGCATGTAGGAAAGTGCTTGAGCAACTCCACCAAGCTGTAACGTCACCTCAACCACCACCATTACCTTTGGAAAGTTTTATCTACAATATACTCTATGAAGTTCCTCTTCCTCCTGCAGGGAGATCCCTAAAATTTTCAGGAGTTTATGGACCAATTATCTGCCAGAGGCCAAGCACCAACGAATTGCCATTATTTGACTTTCCAGTTAAAGAAGTGTTTCAGCTACTTGGAGTAGAGAATGTGGTCCAGCTCTTCACTTGTGCCCTCCTAGAATTTCAGATACTACTTTATTCACAGCGTGAGTATAATATAACCTTTAAAGAATTATGGTCAAGATCGGGGTAGGCAACCTTTCCCCTTTAAGGGCCGAGGGACTTCAGCTCCCAGAATCCCAGGAGCTATTGGCCAACATGGGACTATTGGCCAACATGGCTGAGGCTTCTGGGAGCTGAAGTCCCTCGGCCCTTAAAGGGGAAAGGTTGCCTACCCCTGGTCAAGATCATAATAAAGATTAAATTGTCACTCATTTTAAAACCTGTTCATTTAAAAACCTGCGGGGAGGGAAGAGGCTCCTTCTACAAATATCCAGTGCAATGTGAGAGAAACATAAAGGTTCAGAGCTTCTAGATTATTCATTGCTCCATTCTGAGGCAGAAGAGTCATCACTGCTGTCAGAGATACTTATTGGTCTTAGAAGCTAAGAAGGATTAGACTTGGTTAGTGCTTGCATGGGGAACTGCCAAGCAATACTAGGTGCTGTAGACTCCTAATTCAGAAGAATGCAATGGCAAACGACCTCTGAGTATTCCTTGCCTAAGAAAACCCTATGAAATCCATGGGGTCACCATAAATCAACAGTCAATTTGAAGGCACATACCCACTGTAGTGGAGTAGAGCAGATCACTGTGGGTGCTTTGGCTCCTTTAAAGGCTGAGATGCCTTCAGCAGGGCTATTCTGGCTGGTTGCCTGGCAACACCTCAGAGCCTCAAGTGCACCTGCTGAGGGAAAGAAGCCAGGGAAGCTTCGACTGATATGCCAACTGTGCCCTTTCCTGGAAGTCAGGGACCTCGAAAGTGTGGTACATGTGCTGGTAACCTCTCATCTCGATTTCTGCAATGCAGTCTACATGGGGCTACCCTTGTGTCTAGTTCAGAAACTTCAGCTGGTACTGAATATGGCAGCCAGGCTGGTCTCGGGTAAAACCAGAAGAGACCATCTAATACCTATTCTAAAATTGCTTCACTGGCTGCCTATTAGTTTCCGGGCACAGTACAAGGTGTTGGTTATTACCTTTAAAGCCCTAAATGGCTTGGATCCAACCTATCTTTGGGACTGCCTCCTTCCATACAATCCACCCTGCACACTCCGGTCCTCTGGGAAAAATGTATTGCAACCTATAAAAACTAGATTATCTGTAACCGCCCAGAGGACCTTTTCAGCTATCGCTCCCAGACTCTGGAATGGCCTTCCGGATGAGATCCGTCACATGACCACCTTAAACAGCTTTAAAAAAGCTGTTAAGGCAGATCTCTTCCGGCAGGCCTTTCCTGAGTAGGTAACCAGCCACCGAAGGTAGTTATGCCTGTCCCTGATTTTTGTTGTAGCTATTTAAAATTATTTGTTTTTGTAATTTTAAAGCATGTTTTTATAGTCTGTTTGTTTAATTGTATTTTGGGGGGGTGGGCTACTGAGGGATGGGATTGGTTGTTTTATCTTGTAAGCTGCCTCGGTTGTATTTTTAATAATAATAATAATAATGATTAAGATATAAGCCTCAGGGGCAGCTGAATGAGTAATGGTGATCTGGAGGAAGCAGAGAAATCGTGGAAGGGCCTCTGCAACAGAAGAAGCAACTAAGGCAGCTCCAACTGGAGCATGGGAAATCTCTGCATGGAAAGGTTTGGGAAACCAGCAGCCTGGCCAAGGCCAAAAGAAGCCCATCAGCCCTTCTCTCTGTGACTGAGAGGAGACCTTGCAGTTACACCCGAGACAAGGAGAGCAGTGCTAGGTTGGTTAGCAAGGGACTTGGGCAAACCAACCCCCTTGCCTCAAAGAGCCAGGTACAACAGAACAGGAGATGAATTGGCAGGATGGCCTGTCACCAGGCCAGTACCCCTCTTGTGTCTGACCTTATCAGGAGGACCTCAGCTCACAGCCTGAGCCCTATCAAGTTCTTGTGCTTGGGTCCCCTACTTGACCAAAGAGGTTGGTTCTGCCACACCTTACTGCCTTGGGGTTTCAGGTTCTGGAACCACAGACCTGTTTGAGGATCCTGTGCCAGGGGCAGCCTACAGAGGTGACACCCAGGGGACTAGCACCAAAAGTAGGGGTAAGAGGCTACAAAAACCTGCTGGATCTGGGAGCTAGAACTAGGAACACCCTATCAACAAGAGGAGAGGACTTCAGAGCCACTTCCCTATAACCAGTGCCAAGACCCAGTGCAGCCTTGCCATTTCCCAGTGTTCTCTCCGAGACAGCTAGCCTTGGATCCAGCAGCAACAACCCAGATCATCAGGAAGGTCTCCACTGGGATCCTGGAGCCCTAACACTAAGGACTGAATATGTTAGGCCCAAAGGGGGTGGACCCAGTTACCCCTGTATTGTTGACAAAAATCAATAAGGTCAGCCACATGGGAGTTGGAGTAGTTTATGCTTGGGGGCAATTGCTATGAGCACAGCCTTGGGCAGGGGACACCCCCTTCAACACACATACATACACACACACACTAAATATGACCTTGATTTACTGGCAAAATGTGCTAGACAGGAGATAGCCACCCTTTTCACAAGTATGTACACTGAGTTTTAAGCATGCATTTGTGTAATGGATTTATTCATTTTGCTAGATTCTGGAGTGTAAAAATATTGAACTGAAATTGTATTACTCACATATGCTTCACAACTTGATATTGGAGGTGAATGTGCAAATATCTGGGGGGAGAGTGCCTGTTTCTCCTGATAATCTTCTCCAGGGAATGTATCTGGGTCACCAGTGTTTAAAAAAAGACGGAGAAAGAAATGGCCCTCAAGTTACAGTGTTAGAAGCCTGTTTCAGCTTCATCAAACATATGTTGTTGTTTTTTCATATAAATAGTTCCACCACAAGTGATTGGAACAGGCAGCATTTCTGTGTGTGCCCAAGGCATCTGTGTAGAGCAGGGGTAGGCAACCTTTCCCTTTTAAGGGCCGAGGGACTTCAGCTCCCAGAAGCTTCAGCCATATTGGCCAATAATCCCATGTTGGCCAATAGCTCCTGGGATTTTGGGAGCTGAAGTCCCTTGGCCCTTAAAGGGGAAAGGTTGTCTACCCCTGGTGTAGAGGTTACCATTAAATTTCAAGTGGACCAAATGTTAAGAAGTCTTCTAGATTTTTAATTGAAGTATAAAAGGGATAATACTGTGTTGTAGGTGGTGAAGATCACTATAAATCTTGTTATACATGTTAGCTAAAGTACAATGGTGACACTGCTTTCTGGATCTGAAACAAAAGCTTGTTAAACAAAGAGAGTAAATAGACAACAGTACTCATTTTTATGACTACTTTCATTGGACCTCTACCAGTCCCCAAATCCAACTCGTTCTATAGAACTTTATTCTGACTCAGACAATATACTTTGCAGGAACCATTTTTGTCATATAGGCAGTCCTCATAAATGTTTGTGCTCTATGAAGTTGGCATTGCCAGTTAGAAGTCTAATCTAATTTAAATTTAGAACATGATCCATAAGCGTGTATATGCTCTATTACGAATTTGACATCACCTATTAGAATTTTTAAAGGTAAAAAGGTAAAGGTATTCCCCCTTTGACAAAGTTGTCATGTCCGACGGTAGGGGACAGTGCTCATCTCCATTACTAAACCGAAGAGCCAGCATTGTCAGTGACTACTCTGTGGGTCATGTGACCAGCATGACTGCACAGAACACTGTTTACCTTCCCACCGAAGTGGTACTTATTTATCTACTTGCATTTCCATGCTTTTGAACTGCTAGGTTGCCAGAATCTGGTTACTAGTGATGGGAGTTCACCCCGTCACACAGCACGTGGATCTCGAACGGCCAACCTGTTGATCTTGTAGCTACCAGAGTCAGCATCTTAACTGCTGAGCCACCACATTCCTTAATTTAATCTAAATCTAGAACATAATCCATATTAATCCTGCCACTTAAATTTGCCATAGTGACCTGCGAGAGCTAGTGTGGTGTAATGGATTGCATGTTGGACTACAACTCTGGAGACTAGGGTTCGAATTCCCACTGAGACATGAAAACCAACTGGGTGACCTTGGGCAAGACACACTCTCTTAGCCCAAGAGGAAGGCAAAAGGCAAACTCTCTGAACAAATTTTTGCCAAGAAAACCCAATGATAGGTTCACCTTATGGTTACCATAAAATGGAAATGATTTGAAGATGCACAAACAACATAGTGACCTATAAGGTGAAGAATTTTTGTCTGCAACTGTGCTAGTAAAAAATACAAATCCCAGAGGGCTTCATCATCTTCTGTCATAGTGCTGGAACTAGTATCACCACCATCTTCTTGTGCTACTTGTTTATTCCACATAGCCATATTTCTTTTGCAGACAACAGAAGAACCCAAGATACTTGGGGAAGCAGTGGCACTTCCTGACTTGCAGCTTTATTATTTCAGACCCATATCAACAACAGGAGAAATGTGTTCCAAGTCTGTTGACTAAAATGATGAGCATGTCTTTTATTTAATTATGTCATTATCAAATTGTGCATGACTTTTATTTGTCAATTGCACTGTGTCAGCTGCATTGCAACCCTCCCACTTCCACTCTACTGTACATCAGTATATATTTCTTCTTGCATGGGTAACAATAATATACTATCCCAGAGGCAAATGGGAGCTGGCTTTGGTGTTGTATTGCAGTTATTAAGTTAACAAAAACATTATTCAGTAATCCATAATTGTGTTTATGTATCAAGTTCCCATAACAATGTGGAATATTAAAAATTAGACTGAAGCTGTAAATGTTAATAGAAAGAGATTGTTGTCCATCTTTTCAAATTATAGTTCAGTTTTCTTTTCCCAGAATATTCAGATTAACTTTATACATTGTTGTGTTAATCAATAAACTGAGCAGAATTGATTTAAGCACTTCATCAAAATAAAAGTTTGGATGTGACCTGTTCTTGTTCTAATTTCCTCCTCCATAAGGGATAAAAGTATCTTAAGGCTTGTGAATGTATTGTTGTTTTTTTCTGGATCAGTTAAACCCTATGAACATTTGGTGATTATCTGAAGTAAAGACTTTTCCTGAGATCTTTATCACTGTATTGTATGCAGATTTTTAAAATACCACTGCAGGAAAAAACAATGTCTGTCTAAATAAATTGCCTGTGTTCTCTGGTGGAATGGTTCAATAAACTATTGAGGGAATGCTAAATAAAAACAAAGGGCACAAACTTAGTTTGCTGAAGACTAAATAGAACCCTGTTTCACCTCTTCCGTGTACTTGCAACATTGCAGGATTAAGGAAGACCTTGATGTGTACTTCACACATGCCCTTCGTCTCCACTCAGTTCAAGTCATTTTTATGATAAAACCTTTTGTTCTGTACATAGCATTTTGTAGAAAGAAAAATATGTTGCATTGCTTTTTCTCTGCAGAGAGAAATTCTCAGCAGTTGTCCTTTTTAGAGTCTCTAATGCACAATGTAAGGCTTGGAACCCTTACCTTTCCAGATGTTTTTGTACTCAGATTCTTATCAGCCTTAGACAGCCTGGCCTGTAATGAGGCACGATGGGAGTACTAGCTTATCACCATGCAGACAGTGTGATGCTTTATGTTAGTTGCCTTTTACTTTATGAATAATGTCTAGTTTCATATTGATTGCATTATTATAGTGGTTTTCAAGTACTTTTAATTCCCTTTCTATGATAACTGCTTTCCTGTTTTTCCCCCCAGATTACCAGAGACTGATGACTGTGGCTGAGACAATCACAGCACTGATGTTTCCATTCCAGTGGCAGCACGTCTATGTTCCCATCCTTCCAGCCTCTCTCCTGCATTTTCTAGATGCTCCTGTCCCTTATTTGATGGGCTTGCACTCTAATGGCCTAGATGACCGATCCAAGTTAGAGCTCCCTCAAGAGGTTAGTATGACATTTCACTGTTGTTAAAAAAGGCTTACAAAAGAGAGGAGTTTAAATTAGGATGCTTTGAAGCAAGGCTATTGCCTGGATCAGATAATTTTTGCACCATGTGTTTGGTCTTTTCCTCCATAACAGATTTTTTTTTGGTAGTAGTAAAATGTAATAGCTGCATAATTCTTCTAGATTAGTAGCACTAGAAACATATATGAAATACCCACAGTTTTAGACCTTCTCTTGTTATATAAAGAAGTGTTGTACAATTCTGGATTTTGTCTGGGATAGATTTTGTACAACAATGAAACAGCTTACAAGAAAATAGCCTATATTATTTTCAATCTATAATTACAGCTGTAATTATTCAAACAAAAATCCACCAAACAGTGATACCTTTATTGGCCAAAATGCACAGTATACTTCTGGCAAGCTTTCGAAACTCCACTGGCTTCATCAGACAAGATGTTACAAACCCAACAGGAGAAAATCAATTAGAGATGTTAGTCTGGTGCTTGCATTTTGTTGTTTCTGTTCTTAGTTAAGATGGTATGGGGAGGCTGGCCCCTCCTCCTTCTGGCCATATGGCAATTGGGAGATTTTCAAATTTAAAGTCCATTTGCATCTCAACAAGGACCCCTCTCTTGCAATCCAATATGTCTCCATTTATGTGAGGCTGCAATCATCTTTGTTGGCAGAGGACAATGGATTTCTCAAGAAGTCTCCATGTTTTGCATCAGGAACATTTTGGTAGGTGTAGAGGTAAAACATGCCAATCCAATCCAAATTTAGGAAGAAAAAAATGGTTTTACCTTGGTTGAAGGTCCCAGTCCATTGGCTCACTCCCTGTTGCAGCTACAGAAAACATGCAGGGGTAGCTGTGTTGGTCATTTAGCAAATTCAAACAAAAATCAACCAAACAGCGATACTTTTATTGGCCAACTGAAATGCACAAGTAAATGCACAATAAAGGTATCACTGTTTGGTGGGTTTTTGTTTGAATTTGTCAAATGGCCAACACAGCTACCCCTGCATGTTTAGTTGTAAGCATTATAATTGTCTAACAAATTCTCAGATCCTTTTTGACAAATGTGAAGCACAGTTTAAGTGAACCAGTTGAGATTCTGCTTGTAACTAAAGTTTTAGTGTACCAGAGTGAGCACGCACAAATGGAATTCTCAAGCAGAGTTGAGACGAAGTGAGGTATTTTTGCCCCTTCTCCACTCCTCCTTCAACCTCTGGCATCACTTCCCTCACTGTTCTAGAGGCTTCCTCAGCCTCCTGAGCTCCACTAAAATTAAAACCTGTTAAGGTCTTCTGTCCATGGAAGGATTTTCTTGGATCCAACTTGGTTTTGTTTCTGTAATAAGTTAAATCATTTACTTTGGAAAAGTAACTTTCTAAGGGCAGAAACAGACAGCCTTGAAGGAGCGGTGTCAAACCACCCCAGCTGATGCTGGGTTGGGGCCACAGCAACTGCATGCCGCAGCCCCGCTCCAGCTATTTGTCAGTGCAAAAAGAAGCGGCAAATTGCTGCTCCTTTTTGAGCTGGCCAAAAGTTGGCTTTTCTGTGTTGCCATGGATTTGTGATGCTCCTTTGGTGTGCGGCGTCTAAACGCGGTGCCACCAAAGTGCAGTAAAGCCGGCTGCTGTGTGGTCAGCACAATGGCGTGATGCTGGCTTCCTGATGTATTGGGGGTGTGTGTCATGCATACACCACGCCCTCAAGCCGCCGGGAAGGTGGCATATTGTGTCGGTCTGTTTTAACCCTAAATTCTACAGTCTCAGTAGGAATGGTAAAATGTATTTGCAAAAATGGAACAGAACATATCCAGGGATATATATATATATATTTGAAGTCGCACTATGTGGACAGATTTCTTAAAATAGCTTCTAATTTTTAATGGCTATGCTGTTTGGATTTTTGTCCTGTGTATACAACCCAATTGTATGGTCTTGCTCAGACCACTGAAGAACTATTCTCAGAACCTGAAGAGCACTTCACCTCTGCCCTTTTGCAACCACATGTTGAGGTCATGCTTGCTCCACCCATGGGCATTCCTGTCACTCTTAGGAGAAAGCCCCTCAGGTTAGGAAAACCTTTAAAATACAGACACACAGCAAGAATTTCTCTCTACGACCTGCCATGTGTGTGCTTTAGTCTGTAAATCCCTTAAATTTAGCTACAGCCTTCTAGTCCCTCTTAGGAGAAGAGTTTTCGCTTCCATGAGTTCCCCCGCCCTTTTATTTTGAGAAAAAGATTGCATTGAGTATAGATTGTTCTGTTGCTTTCTTCTGCTATCTTTTTAATAATGAAATAATTGTTTTGGCTGCAAAATCAGCCTGTTCTTCTACCTCATTTTTACTTGGAGCTGCTTTGGTTAATTGTCCATATTTAAGAGCCTTCGGCCTGTAGGATCCTAGAGAGAGCTAGTGCCTAGAAGAGCTCCCCCTGCCCCCCAAAAAACAGTGCACTACTCTTAACATTTGTGATAAAGGTGTGTTCTCGCATTCGAATCAAAGCTATGGATGCTATTTACGTTTATGGTCAAAGATATATGATATTTGCAATTTTCTGAATTTCTTTTTACAGTATGGAATTATTGTTGAGGAAATGAACAATTATTGCATTTTTTGTGAAAAGCAGTCTGTTTTTCTACCTAAGGGCCTTTGCAGACTGCTAGAAATCGTACAAATTGAGTCCACTTTAACTGTCCAGGCTCAGTGCTAGGGAATCATGGGAACTGTATTTTTTTCTGAGACATTGAGCCTTCTCTGTCAGAGAGCTCTGGTGCCACAATAAACTACAGTTCCCATGATTCACTAGCACTGAGTCAGGGCAGTTAAAGTAGACTCAATTTGCACTATTTCTGGCAGTCTGCAAAGTCTATAAGTTGCCAGTAGAGCTGAAAGGAATGTTTGTGTTTTCTCTTAATCTATTGTAATCACATTATAACAGTGGTGCTTGATAGATTTTATCTTGGAGTCAAGAAAGTATCTGAGAAGTAGTTTCTTAAATCAGTGGCACTTACTGTCATGTAAGTGTGCATAGGACTATACCTTTAATCTTCTCCTGTCAGACTTTTGTTTTTCATTTCACACCTCTGGTTCTGATTTTTGTCTTATCATATAAATTGTTATATTATTATT